GTAGGCTTTCGAGCCTATACAGCTTGGAGTAAGACAACATGCATGAAGAGGATGATGTGGACAAAATACTCATTTGCCTAATAATTCTGCACTCCCTGTACAGACACTGATGTTGTTCAGATATGCCTGCTTAAGAATGTCACATGTATTTGTAATTGCATATTCATGAATGATTGCTTGCTGACAATAAAAAGGGCTGTAGTGAAGGAATCAGTTGAAGTTGGCTAAAGGACAGGTGAAGGGAGCATTACTTGGCCTTGACTGACTTCCCTTGCAAGACAAAAAGACAAAAGAGCTCTGTCTTGTCTTGATTTGTCGTGCAGTTTGGGCTTGTGTTCCAGCCTAGATAAACCCAACAGTAAGATGTACTTTTTTAGTACCTACTTTCTCGAGGTTCCAAGCAATCCGATGTGGCATTGTCAGACTGCATATCACCAATTGGCTGGTCAGTAGTGTCATGCGATGAGCCATGAGAGCGTCTTGTTCACAAAAATTAAAACCGCCATTTTTGAAACATGTCAATGACGGAAATGGCTACAAAAATAATGCCATGGTGCTCAAGTCTGGTGAAAAGCCACAGTCCGAGCAGCAGGTATATTCTTGTCCAGACACCCACCTTTTTTGTAACGTTCAGGTTAATTACTTCACGGGACACTTGGACACACTGCTATGACAACAACCATGCAGGCTAGGTAGTACTGGATTTGAATGGAAAACCAGTTGATCCGAGTCGAGTTGTAGTGAGTTGATCTGAGTAGGTATTCAAGGAAAAAGGGCTATCCAGTTCCTCCTCCCTCCCCCGATTGGGTAGGTCAGATCATAACCTGATTCATGTTTTGAGATTCACAGACTGGGAGACACTGTGAGCCTCGTGGTCAGGACCTCAATGGGCTTACTGAGTGTATCACTGACTACATAACCTTCTGCACCAACTCCATTGTCTCAGCTAAGACTATCCATTGTACAAACTGAACATTCCATCCATTCTCATGGGTAACGTAAGATCTTTACCCAACAAGATGGAAGCGCTAATGGTGCTAACCAGACTGCAGTGCGAGTACCAGGAGAGCAGCCTCCTGCTGTTCACTGAGACATGGCTCACAGACCACACACTGGACCCTGTCGTAACTCTGGATGGCTTTCAACTGGTTAGAGTGGAGTGGAGCGCAGTGGAGAGTGGTAAGAGGGGAGGTGGGGGACTAGCAATGAAGATCAATGAGAGATGATGTAACCTGGGACACATCACTGTGAAGGAACAGCGCTGTACCAAAGAATCAGAATCAGAATACTTTATTGATCCCTAGCGGAAATTATTTCCTGTTAGCGGTTAGCGTTTGGCCATACCACCCGGCCAGGGATTTTTCACGTTATTGTGCTGACTGTTTACATTCCGCACTCGATATGACCAGGACAGAGAGGCCGGGGATTGAACCGGCGACCTTCCGGTTACAGATACGCTTCCCAACCCCCTGAGCCACGGTCGCCCCACAACCGTGGGATGGCACATCTGCAATCCCTCATTATTATCTCTGGGGACTTCGATCACGCCTCACTATCTGCCACTCTCCCTAACTTCTCGCAGTATGTTGTCTGCCATAGAAGGGACAGAAAAACCCTGAACCATGTTTGCCAACACAAAGCAGGCTTACAGCACATCACCCTTCACCCCGCTTAGCCACACACACCACAACCTGGTCATTCTTCAACCCATTTACACTCCCATGGTGAAGA